CGGCGACGGTTCTTGCTCGCGAAGGGCGGTGATGGAGCTGAATCGTGTTGGCTGGGCTTTCTCGCTCTGGAACCGTTCCAGGGGTCTCGAGATCATTCGTGTTCGAGAGCCCGCGTGGGCCCCCACTCCGCGGACCCCTCAGGCCGCTGAATTTTTCTGTTATTCGATTTCCCAACAATGGTCAAGCGGGGAGTTTGACATATTTTTGGACTGTCAGACTTGTGTGGATTTCTATTCTTTGCCGTGGACTGAACAGGCGTCGCCGAAGAGAGCCTACGCGGGGGTGACCCAGTTCTGTCGCCCTTTTTCGGGCCGTTGTGCTGTGCATAAAATTCGTGCCCACCAGTCGGCCAGTGAGGATGAGAATTGGTGGTCGGCTTACCTGCGTGAGGGTAACCATGCTGTGGATATGTCGGCCAAGGTTGCTGCTGTAATTAATCCTGAGCCGTGTCCTGAAGATGAGGAGAAGCTGGAGCGCTCATTGCGAGTTGCCAAGACAGTTGGGATCTTGGCGGCTAAGATCATGCCCCTGTGGCCCAGGTTAGTAATGGGCCCTGAGGTGCAGCGAGTGCCCGTGCCGCCGCCGCCGGCCGCGTCTCACGACAGGAAAGGCCATGTCTGGTCTTGGACGGGTCGATTCTGGCAGTGTTTATCTTGTTTCCGCGGGTCCAGGTCCTCCGCGAAACCTCCCAGGGGCTCCTGCCGCGGCGGCCCTGGGGTCGGGATCCGAGGTTTCGATGCTCCTGCGTTGTCGGTTCTGGGGCACAAAATTCTGTTTCTCGACGCCAGTGATGGCAGTTTTGCTCATGTCTGCCTCCAGTGTAAGTTTTACACTGGGGGCGGGCAGATTCGAGGTTTAGAAGAATCGTGCCGGCCCCTGCTGAAGACGGGGGCCCAAGGTAGGCGCTTGTCTTGGAAGCGAATCACGCAGGGTTTGCACCCTAAGCGTGGCGGCGTTTCGGTCGAGGTCGGCCCTTGGTGCGACGATAAGGAGGAGGAGGTCTCCGCTTCCCTCGAGCCCCCCCCCCCTTTCGGAGGTGGAGGACGATGCGTCGAAGACATTGCGGCTGCTCGAGGCGGCAAGCGGCGGTCGGTCTCGAGGCTCTGCGTCTGCCGCTGCCGATCCCGAGTCGGGGTCCGATTAATCGATTTTTTGTTGAACAGGCCCCTTGGCGGAATCGCCCGCCGCCTTGGGTGCAAGTGGGCATCTTGGTGCCGTGCGCACAAAAAAATATCCCCCTCCTCCTCCTCGTTTTCCCCCTCCTCGCCCTCCTCCTCCTCCTCCTCCTCCTCCTCCTCCTCCTCCTCCTCCTCCTCCTCCTCCTCATCCTCCTCATCCTCCTCATCCTCCTCCTTCTCTTCCTCCTCCTCCTCGCCCTTTCCCTCTTCCTCCTGCCCTTCCCCCTCCTCCTCCTCCTTCTCCTCAGCTGCCGCCCCTGCTCGAGAGGTTTTTGGGCGCTGTAACGGGTACAGCGAACTTCTCACTAGGGGCGGGCGACTACGCGTGCTGGCCCGCGCCCGCCGCTGCGCGGATCGGCGGCCTGGGCCTTGGCCGCGACTACGACGCGCGGCGCGCCGAGGGTTTCCCGCTCGCCGCGGGCGCAGTCCAGCGGCAGGAGCTGAGTGCCAGCTGGCGCCGTCGTGAGTGACAGGCCCGCGCCAGCGCATGCGCGCTGCCACGAGTTTGTCGTCGCGGCGCAGCGGCTACGCGATCACCGCAGTTCGATGTCGCGGCAACATCGCGGAAGAGGTAAAGCGGCGGCACGGGCAAGGGCAGGGGCAAGCAGGTCGCGCCTGCCCCGCCGCCGCCGCCAGCATGGCGACGCGGGCAGTGCGGCGAGCCCAACGTGATGCAGGATAGTCCGTGCAGGGCGTGCTGCCCAATGCTTGCCCAAGCGCCGTGGGCCAATGCTGGGCCACCGCAGCAGGTGAAAGGCAGGCGACAGCAGACGCCAAACCCGCAGTCCGATCAGCGTGCCCGATCGTCGGGGGGGACGGCTGGACGCAGTCAGCAGGGGGAACGTGCTGATAGACGACGACGACGACGTGGTCGTAGTCGGCAGGGAGATCGCGCAGTGGCTGGCGCCGCCGCAGCCGAGGCCATGCTCCCGCGTCGGCTGGTGCCGACGCCTGAGCCTGAGGCGGAGGCTGCGCCCGAGCCTGAGGCTCGCAGAGGCCGCGCGACGTCTGGGCCGAGGCGGACCCGAGCCTCGTGTCGGTCGAAGTCGGCGGATGTCACGTCCGAGGAGTCCGAGGTCGAGGAGAGCACGGACACGGAGGACCCGGCGGCGCAGCCGACAGGAGTGTTGCCTGCACTCCCTGGGGAGGCCAGGGCGCACCCTTCATGGCAGGAGCTGCCTCGCACTAGTGAAGCAGTGCAGGCACACAGGAGGCATCTTCGTCGACTGGTCATCGCCTCCGCCAAGAAGTTGCGTGCAAGTCCGCAGCTTGGGCGCCGTGTGTGCGTGGTCAACGATTTGGCGCAGGAATATGCAGTCCTCATGACCATGCTAGTAGTGTGCAGATCGCAGACGGCCAGTCTACAGCGGACGGGCATGCTCCAGATGGAGCTGGCCGAGAGGAGAATGAGACGGACACAGGTTGACTTCGTTGAGGCACAAGCTACCCTCGTGCACTTGTTAGTTGTCCCGACTCAGCGTTACCATTAGTTGGCGAGGGCGCAGCTAATGTTACGCCAACTGGAGACGCACTACCCAGAGCCGAACAGCGATGTCATGATGTCGCCGATGGCAACCGACATCACGGAGCTCCAGCGGGGCCAGGTGAACATGGCGCAGCAGTTGGCGGGGCTGTCGTCGGTGCTCGGCGAGCTGCAGGCGGCGTTCGGGCAGTTCGCAGCAGGCGCGGCACAGGGACAGCAGCCTACAGCAGTGGCACCAGCAGTGCCAGCGCGGGAGGCGGAGGCATTTGCACCGCAAGGCCCTGCCGCGTCCGTGGTAGGGTCGGGCGCGCCCATCCTGACACAGGCCCAGGCGTGCGCCGCGGCAGAATTACAGGCAGATGTCGATGGCGGGCATGGCGGGCCTGTGCCAGAAGATGCTGGTGATGAAGTGGCTGCCGGCGACTGGAAGGCCAAGAAGGCTGCCCGATCGGCCCGCGCCAAGGCAACTGCCGAGCGCCGTGCAGACGCCGCCGAGGAGGAGCGCCGCGCCATGCGGGCTAGAGACATCGCATGCCGCCGCGCCACGCGGGCAGCTGCCGAGCGCCGCGCAGAGGCCGCCGAGGAGGAGCGCCGCGCCATGAGGGCAAGGGGCATTGCATGCCCAGGGCAGCCGTTCATCGTGGCAGCCATGGCGTCCGGTGGGGCGGCACCGTCACCACCGACGTCAAGCAGGGTGGAGCTGCGTGCGGCTCCTGGAGAAGAGCGCCCGTTGCCAAAGGGACGAGATGAGGCAGCCCGCAGTTCAGATGTTGAGCGGGATCGAAGCCCCAGACGATCACATGACGGACATGGGGAAGACGTGTTTCCACAAGGGTGGTGAGTCTCCCTGCGGAGGTGAACGCTGCCAGCGGTGCTGGCTCCTGCCCAGCGCGCGTCACCTCCGCATGTGTTGCAGGCTCATTTGTGCAGTGCTGTCTTGCCGTGCAATCCACTTCCACATTGCAGCAGGCTCGTGGATGACGTGTCCAGGCCTGCCGCGGAATGTTCTCTTGCAATGTTTGCTTCAGAGTAAGAAGAAGAGTACGAATTGCCTCGTCTTTTCTTGCATCGTCACTGCTCTTCCATGCGCCTCTGCATAATGTTGTTGCGCATTTGTCAGCATGCATTGATCGTCGACTCATAGTTCAGTGCAGCGACGGAAGTATTGGATGTGGATGTCCGCACGTGTCGACGACAGTGCGCGGGAGTTTCCGCGGGCGTCCCCCGCGAGCCTGGTGAGCGCTGCTGGCCACGAGGTGTCCCCTCTTGAGGTCAGTGTGACTCCCATGGTCCCTCCCATCATCATCCTCCCTTCTCATCCTGTTTCTTGCGTCGCATGTGTGTTGCGAGCGGCAGTAAGGAGTAGCTGGGCTGGAGTAGGGTTATGGCGTGGGTGAGGGCGGTGGAATTGCCTCATGGCGTCACATGCTTGACCCCACGCGCGGGCCGAGGCTCGATAGTATGAATAGCGTGCCCCGCCATGCCGAGCTGGCGAAGTGTTGTCTGCAGAAGGCATGCGGAGAGGCGGATGTCAGGATGCATATGTGCACTATTTCTCGAGGGGGTAGACCCGTAGAGCCCTACGGGTGCCCACGATGGCTTAAATGCGACGGAGCGTGTATCCCCTCGGGACCATGGAGTACCACCTTCATGTATTCCTCTCAGCCCCCACCTCCGCACCCTCCCACGTCCGCGGCGAGCAGCAGAGAATGGGGTAGCAGGGAAGGGGTGCTGCTGCCTGCTGTCACTGCATTGCATGCCCACGTTGTGCGGACGTCGTGGAATGTTTGTCAGGACTGTCTCTCTGATGGTGCTCAGGCGCGGGAGGTTTGGCCGAGAGTGCGAATAGCGTGCCCCGCCATGCCTTCTGACGCGAGGGTGCCAGCAGCGGACCCGCTGAGAGACGATGTCCTTCTCAACCGCTCGCTCTCCTGCGTATATGATCCCCCCTCTCTGTACCCACGCTCGTGCACCGTTAATGGCGTAGCCTGTTCGGCTAGCGATAAGGTCGGGGATGGGTCAGTTGGTTGGCGGAAGTGGAGATGTCTTGACACCTACTTCGCCCGTTTGGGGTCGGAGCCTGTTCTGCTTTGACACGCACGGTGCCAAGCTGTCATACCTTTAGGTGTGGTCGTTGGGGGCGGGATGGGCATTGGGAGGCTGGGCCGTGAACGCGTACTCTCCTTGGCGCCCGTGCTTCAATGCTCTCGACTGCTCGTGTGTATGAAGCTAGCTGAGTGCCGACACTATCTGACCGCTGTCCAGGGCGAATCAGGTCGCAATTCAAAATTATTTTTCTCTCCCTCCTCCTCCTCCAACCTCCGCGCGCCGCCGAGAGGAGGGACCCCACCTCGGCCAGGAGCCCCCGCCGGGGCGGCGCCAGGGCCCGTGGAGGGCTCTGCCCAGGTCTGCTGCTGCCGGCGTAGCCGCGGGGGTGCTGGCCGTGGCGGCGCTGGGTTGCGCGGGGCTGCTGCCGCGGGCGGGTTTGCCAGGCGCAAAGGACGTCGAGGCCGGACGGGAGATGGACGAGGAGGGAGAAGAGGAGGAGGAGGAGGAGGAGGAGGAGGAGGAGGAGGAGGAGGAGGCGGAGGGAGGAGGAGGGAGGAGGAGGAGGAGGAGGAGGAGGAGCAGGAGCAGGAGGAGGCGGAGGCGGAGGAGGAGGAGGAGGAGGAAAAAGAGGAAAAAAAGGAGGAGGCGGAGGAAGAGGAGGAGGCGGAGGAGGAGGGGGAGAAGAAGGAGGGGGAACCCTCCCTGAGGGAGGGACGACGAAGGTGTCTGCCAGCTCCCGATCATTGTGTTTTGGACGGTGCGGGGGCACACGTCCGCCGCCAGAGGACGAGGAGGAGGAGGAGGAGGAGGAGGAGGAGAAGGAGGAGGGCGAGAATCAAAGTGTTTGAACGGTTTTGGCCCGCGTCGGGCGCCTGGCGACTTCACCAGACTTCGAGAGGCCCCCAGAGGAGGAGAGGGAAAGGAGGAAGAGGCGGAGGAGGAGGAGGAGGAGGAGGAGGAGGAGGAGAAGGAGGAAAGGCGCCAAGGCCCGAAGGCCGGGCAGGCAGCCCAGGACCCGCGGCCGCGCCCAAGCGCGGCGCCACCCGCGCCCGCGGCCCGCAGCCGCAGCCATAGTCGCGGGGAACCCCAACCCGCGTCCAGCACCCAGCCTCCTGCCGAGGCCAAGTGCATCACCACCTGCAAGATTGAGGACCTTGGTGGATAGTGGGCCTGGAGTGCCTTCATCAGTCAGTATCAAGCGACCAAGGTCGCCAGCCTGGCACAGGAGATCGAGAAGGACAAGGGCAGCAACCAGAGTAATTCTACGACTGCACAAAGCTGCGCATCTGCTACGACAACATCACTCAGCAATGGCCTCTCATGGAGAACAGCGACACCGATCCAATTCCCGAAGGCAGAGACAGCATTCACAAACGCGAGGGCAGCGTGACTCACTGGGTGGACGGCATGAAGGAAGATGGAAGTGCAATACTTGCGGATTGTCAAACCCATGGTCATGTGACAGGTGCTCATGCTGGACAAAAGGGCAAGCAGGGCAAAGACAACACACGCCCAGGAGCAGTAGACGCAAGACCGACAAAGAAAAAGCCCCACCCAAGCGCTCGGCCGAGTTACAGAAGATGATCGACGGGGTACCCATAGCTACACCAGAGGAGGCGAGATCGTCGAAGGATTTTGAGGAGCCCCCCACAGACCAGAGCGCAGCAAGGGCATTTCGATACCGAATATATGCCAAACAATCCCAACTTGGCATGGCCGCTCTGTCAGGCAAGAAGGCGCAGCTGGACGTGAAAGAGACAGAGTTCAAGATCTCGGTCATGAAGTACATCATAGACATAATGCGTCCAGCAGCAGCACGAGTGGAAGGACACAGAAAGCACCACGAAGCCCTGAAGGAGCAGTACAGGATGAAGGTCAAGCAGTCCAAGAAGATCAACGAGGAGCTGGACGACTTGCAGTACCAGATCGACAGGGCCCACGAAGCGTTGGTGGTTGCTATCCAAGACAGGGACGGCGAGGAAGAAGAAGCTGAAGGAGAAATGGATGACGAGCAGGAGCAAGATTTGGACGATGAAGTAATGCAAGTTGAACCAAGGCTGGGAAGGCCAAGACAGAACCCACAGCGACGCACGTTCCCAGCAGGAGGTATGCCGCCATCAAGCACAGGATACTGCCCAGAAGTTGCAGAGACTCCGCACAAAGATGGACACATTGAACAGATCCAGCAGTTGATGCATATGGTGGCCCAGCAATCAGTTGAAAATGGCAAATTACAAGCGCAGCTTCGAGACATACAGGCGGAGTCACAGGCGGCAAAGGCCTTCTACGAACAACAAGCCGTGTACCAGCAGTACTACATCAACAGGATGACCGACCAGCAGGAGAAGATGATGAGTCAGTTTGCGGCGGAAGGTACAGAGTCGGAGGCAGCAGGACCCCAGCCGTCACCTACAACGCCAACGGAGGATTACTTTGCCACGCAGGAGCGACAGCAGGTCATCGACCACAAGAAATGGCTTCAACAGAGTGCAGCGGCGGCGGCACAAGCGCATGCAGCAGCAGCAGCTGTGGGGCAACTACCGTTTATCGACACAGGGGCTGCAGAGGTCGCAGCTCGACAAGCAGCATATCAAGCCCAACAGCAAGCAGCCGCCCATGCCGCTGCACAGCAGCAAGAGAAGCAAGAAGTACATCATGCAGTGCAACAAGCAGCCCAGCGAGCAGATCAACAGGATCCACACAATGTCCCCGCAGCCCAGCAGCCAGTACCCGACGACAATCATGACTTAGAGGCCGACAATTGGGATGAAGTGCAAGCAAAGCGAGTGGAGGAGCGCACCTTGTACGAGGCTCAAGAGGTGACCGACCAGATGGTACGTAAGGTAATCAAAGAGGAGGCCGAGGCCATGATCGCAGAGAACAGTCAACGTACGCATGAGCACGATCATCGGCATGTACCGGCACCACATACGCCAGTGGCACCAGAGTCACCAGCGGCAGCCTGGGAGGTGGGTCCCCTCCTCAGTGCCAATGTGGATCAAGAGCAGTATGCAGCAGCCCTCAGGATGAGGAACCTGGACGAGCCATCATCTATTCCAACAGAGCAGCCATCGCCATGCTGCACTCCCACGGAAGTGGCGTCACCAGCCCAACCTGACAAGCAAGAAGAGATCAGCCCGACTGAACCGTTCACACCGAGGGGCCTCTGTACCGAGCATCGTTCCCCTTCAAGAAAAGAAAAAGAAGAAAGCAGGAGCTGCAACCAGCAGGGCACCCAGCACTACGACATCGCGCAAGGTGACAGCCCAGTTCGCCCTGGGCAACGAGGATCATCCCTACCCCGATTTGGTTCGTTTCGAAGTTACGAGGAAGACAGCGGCAGCAGCGGAGGGCCGCAGCCCAGGCAGATTGCCAGGAGGTCGATGCTGCCCTTCGGCAGGTCCGCCAACGCGGCGGCCATCAGGAGCAGCTCGGCCCGCTAAGCAGGTCCATTTTGGACCTACGGAATGCATGTATTATAATTCAAGAACTGGAAGCAGTATCTCGTACCTGCGTGAAGCATCACCCGCAGCTCTACGTTATGCCGAGAAGTCTCCAGTCTATACGACGTCTTCACCGTCGGCATCGGCTCCCACAACGAGACCTTCGGACTCTAATGGACGTGGAGCTGATGTACTAGCCGCGCCTCACCCTCCTGAGTTTGGGTTTCCAGTCGAGGGTGCCAGATGTGCGCAGGTAGATTTAGGATCCTTGTTTTCATCAAGTCGCAGCCCATCCCTGCCGCCGTCCTGGAACCCCCCATCGTGGCTCGACCAGGAGGAGAGGCGGCAGAAGCCCGAGAAGTACCAATCCCTCGAGTATGCAGAGCAGCGCACACTGTCTACACCAGCCAGCGTCGGGCAAACCACGCAGGCCCTAGATATCAAGCAGACCAAGCTCATCACAGATGCTCGAGCGAGGTTTGCCAAGCAGGTAGAGGACACTACGCAATCGCAGGTACACAAAGAGGACATGACACTGGCACTCACCTTGAAGTGCGAGGCACAGATCCCAGAACCAATCACCAAGCGTCTGGAGGGCAAGGACAAGTGGATCATCCTGCAGGAAATCCCAGAGGGTGCAGACGTCCACGAGTTCGCCAAAGCAGCTGTCGCCCTAACCAAGTTTACAGAGGTGGACCCTACACACTATTTCATCTACACGGACGCCTCTGTACCGAAGATCAAGGAAGCATCCAGCTGGGCTTTGGCGCTTGTCTCACAGAGTGCAGAGAGTTTCCATTTCCATGGGCAGATTGGATACATTGTCAAAGACAGTACCTCCCTGGACATCGACTACGCTCACCTGGACTCCACGCAGGCAGAACTGGTAGCTATCATTTGGGCGCTGATGCTGGCGTACCAACTCGAGGGCACTACGGACACTACCATTATAACAGACTCGCAAGGAGCTATCGACATCATAACAAGAGCTACCTCCAAGGATGATCCCATTTCAATTTTGGCAATAAGCACATATGATTCAGTGCGAAGAGCGAGGCGCACTACGATTGAACATGTCAAAGGTCATGTTGGACAACCTTGGAACGAACTTTGCGATTCTATTGCCAGGTACCACACAAAGAAGTACTTGACAACATCTGAGGTGGTCATTGACCTTGAAGTGGACTGCCCGCTCCCCGTGGCCATTGTTGAGGAACTCAAGGTCACGAAACACATGCACTGGAGTTTCCTACGTGACACAAATTTTCAGGATGGTCGAGCTTATCCCACAGCAAGCGGAGATGGACTGAGTTTTTCATACCAACTCATGCAGGCGGAGAAGGAAGTGGTTATCCAAAAGAACCCGTTACCTGTCAAGCCCGCTCCTACTGCTACTGAGCAACCAGCAAAGGTCACCCTCAAAGCCAAGACGACATTGAACCTGAACCTTGCTACGTACAACGCTCAGAGGACCATCGTAGACGATAAGGAGCAGATGACCTTTGCGACCAGGGAGTGTCGAGGCGCTGTTACCAAACACATCAAGCACCAACGAGGTCAGCTAATGCGACTCCAATTGCGAGATGAAGGAGTACAGATCGCTGGAATCCAGGAGACCACTTTCACGGAGGAATATACCAGTGGAGATGGATATATGCAGTTTAATTCCCGACAGACTAGCTCCAAGCATGAGAAGCTTGGGGTATCATTATTGATTAGCTACGACGTGCCGTATGCCACCAGTGAGCAGAATGAGCACTTCTTCGAGAAGAAACACGTACGGATTGTCCATCGGTCGGAAAGGTTACTAATCGCATGCATCAGAACACCCATAGTGCACGAGACGATCCATGTATGGCATGTTCCACATCACGATAAAGGGTCCAAGCATGCAGAACGTGTCAAATGGTGGAAGCAGCTCTGGCAACTCAGCCAGAAGTGGCCGCCTACTATTGTTTTCGCAGATGCAAATGCAACAATTTCGAGCATACCCTCCCCTGGAATAGGGGGACTGGTC